AAGAGGCTACACTGTTATTATTGTTATTATTATTACTATTATTAATCTTCCCCTCTCTTCCTTCCTCCAGATCAGTATGGTAGTTTCCCTCTCTCTTTCTCTCAAGTTTCTTCCAGTCCTTCTGTTCCTCTCCAGCGAATAGCCTCACGCTGTCACTGTCAAATGTTCTACATTACTTTTGGCGGACAAGTATCTCAAGAAGACTGCCCTGCTCCTCTCTCTGTTAGTCTAATCACGTGACTCTCATATGACTCTTTTTAATTAATTAATGCTTTTTTCCTATAGCCGGCTCACGAGAAGATGTCTTCGTCTTCAGAAGCTGTGGATACTTTCACGTTTAGATACCCACTGGCCGAAGTCCATACCACATCAGTAAGAGAACAGCTTCTTTGTGACATACATGTATACATGTACATGTACACGTACTTGCAGTATACTCTTATTCATTCATGTTCATGTGTCATGTCCTTTTTTAGGAGCAATATTCTCTCATTCTTGATATCCTCAACAAGCTTCTACTGTACAAGGAGCCAAGACGAAAGGTAGTTCTAATTAATGCCCTACCATTCTAATTAATGCTCACCCCAGGAGGCGACGGAGCAGCACGCTAGGATGAACTTTACGTTGCAATTGACGAGCGTATCAGATATAAGGAAACCGGTACTGGCTCTCCAGAATAGATTAAGGTCATTATAATGACAAATGATTTAGTATTGAAATTAATAATAATTACTATTATTTTGCATTTTAAAAATAATTTACAGGCAGACCCTGAAAAGGTTAAAAGCACTTGAGAATGATCTATACATTGAGCTAAAATCAGGAACTGATAGGTACCAATCAATATGTGCATGCAAATCAAATTAATACATGTACATGTGTTATTGTGACAAATTCTAATAATTGCACATGTTACAATCCTTATGCAGTTTATGTATGTTCATACATGTACATGTACTTTTCAATATATTAAAACATTAATTTAATGCTTGATAATTTCTTTATCTATTAATACATGTACTAGTACATTTCTTTATATTTGTTCTATCTCTTTCTTCCTCTTCTCCAATGCAGTACTTTACAAATGAGAGACACAATTGAAAAAGAATTAGGACAAACTAAAGACGCTTTATCTCAGGGAAGTCTTGAACTGAGAGCCATGATAAGAGCTTTCAAAGAGAAACGATTCGAAATGTCACCATCTCATGCACGAACTGACAGTAAGCCCCGCCCATTATAAACCACGCCCAGATATAACCACGCCCATTAGGAGACGTGTCCCCAATGGCTCCGGAGCCTGTCCGAAGAATAGAGGTGTGGCTTGACGACGCCCAGTGGTCGCTCATGCAAGATGACGGTCAATTAAAAGTGGGTGGTGCTCATTAATATTCATTAGTGTTTGACCACGCCCATAGATTTCTACGATACAATTAACTAATTTTAGTTATAATCGTGTCACTTTTAACGACGATTCTGGCGAACATAGACTAGAGCTTGGGTCATTTAGAGTTAAAAATTGCATACCCAACGTTCAGAGTATTTTTCAGGTGAGTAGGTGTGGTTTTAGGGGGCGTGTCATTTGTAGTCTCAATCCTTTTTATAGGAGGTACTGTCTCCTTATGATCCTGCTTCAAGAAGATTGAGAGTTGATAAAAATGTTTCTTTGAGAATATTCTGTAGAGACAGGCCAAGAGGTAAGTACATGACTTACACATGTACCATGAAGCTGGTTTTTTTTGAGAATTTCTTTTTTGTGAATTTCCCTTTTTAATTTTTTACAATACCTCTACCATTTTGGCTCAATAGCCTATCGTCACAAAGGCTCCAATTTAAAAACACTAAAAATTTTGGAATTTGCCAAAATTTTTATCCTCCGAAATTGCAAGCTACATTTACATGTACTGTATGTAACACTTAATTAAAATCACACTCTTTCTCCTCTCCCTCTCTCTTTACCAGTTGCTGGTATTTCAGTGACGGAGCATTTAGAGATCAATGTGGTTCCTTTGGCCGTGAGGCTCACAGAGAAACTCTATCAGACCATACAGGCTTTCTTCTTACCTAAAGCAGAAACTGAAGCTAAGGATACTGCAGAACCTGACCACTCGCACGTTTTTGGATACCAACGTATTAAATTTTATGT